CATGTGACGAAAAACCAGCATCATACAGAGGTTTCGATTTACACTACAAAAATCCGTGAATTTTTGGCAGGTATTTCAAATTACCACAGTCCAGAGGTTGATTTTTCCATTTTGTTTTTTTCGTCATGTTTGCTGGAATGTGAGATAATCAGCGATTTTTGGTTGCTGTGTAAATGCAGCTCATGTTGTGAGATTTGCTTCTCACTTTCTATTCATCAGAGGCAAGGGTTTCTGGGCATGCATAGTAGAGAGGTGGATGGAAATGAGTATCACTTACACCTTGCGGGGTTAAGTCAGGGGGCTGGCTTTGCATGTTAAAGAGCTCTCTGTCACACCTGCACCGAATCAATGGTTTAAGCCCTACTCGGGACACAACGAACAAACCGAGGCCTCACTTGGGCTTGCGAGGGTACATCAGAAACCCAAATCCCTGCACCCACAACTGCCTCAAAGCACAGATTACATGCAATACACAAAAATTGCAAGATTACCATTTTTTTACTATTCTTCGCTTTCTGTAAAAGTACCTCCATGGGGTTGGATTAGAATTAACACAGACAGAAAATGGGGAAAGGGTCACAAAAGGCAAAGTGAAAGCTAATATGAGTGGTGTACCAGAAACGTGAGTAATTGTTCTAGAAATTAGCATAGTTTGCAAGGAGCAGTGGTATATATGGGTAGGGTAAGGTTGCATGGGATGTCTGAATTGCTGCTGGATGTATTTGAACAGCAGTCCCAGCTGATATCTGGTGAAGTGATGTCCTTCTACAATAAACAAAATACAGGAACACACTTATATCCCCAGTAAGAACAAAAAAGTCTCCATCCACATGGCACTCTGTAGGCCTGTATTCCACAAAATCATTAAGATGACAAATCATCTATGTTCCAATCGATAACAAAGCTCTAGATCTGAATCATTTTTAATATCAAGACAAACAAAGACAAAATTAACATATTTAATTCTCTTTATAGTACCATATGTTATCATCAAGCAGTCAATGTTCAACTTTGCATGTAAAGAATTATTCCTTGATCATTGAAAAAAGCTATGCTAAATAATAATAACACCTACAAAAGCCTACAATTTTTTTGCACACATATCTTCTACAATCTATGAAAAAGAGGAAGTCAAAGCCATGATTACTACCCTATCTTTAGACCAGCTACCCTAAAGCACTGAAGCATTCAAGGTATAACTTCCTACCATGTACCCATTTACTTGCACAGAATGCATGAAAAATAGTACAATCAAGTGTTTTTGACAGGCAGATATGATCACATCATATCACATGTGAAATCTATTCCTAAGGGTGCAAAATAAGTCTTCATTCTATCATTCAAACTGGAACGATATAAGTCGGTATGAAATTTTACTCAGTATAAAGTAACTGGTTTTGTTTTGGTTTAAAAAAAAGAAAGGCTCTACATAAATATGAACTAAGTAATGTGACACAATATAAACAATGTAACTGACAAAGAATGATAAATGAATTTCATGCAACATCCCATTATGTTGTCCTTAACTAGAGTGATACATGTGCTCTATTTTGTCTGAAGTTCAGGTTGGCTTAGATGATAGAATGGACAGAGTAGCGGTTGCTTTGATGTTTGCTTTGATATTTTGTGCTCAAAAGTTATTTTGCAAGTATCATATCTTTTTCAATAAAACTCTTTTTGTTGTAATAGGCTTTGTGTAACTTTGTAGAATCCCTGTTAACAAAAGACACGCATGAAAATAGATTAAAAAATTGCAGGGTAGTTGATTTGGTGCTTTCATTGGGAAGTGGTACAAGTGGTGAGATATTTTGCTAGAGAAATCGTCAAAGAGTGAGGCCTATTCAAATCATCTCCTCTCCGCCTATCGGCAAAAGGGTGCAGCCCAATTTTTTAATCTTCAGGTGTAATATGCCATGCCTACAAAAGTGCCTTTTCTTTCCCTTCTCTGTTTCATTTTGTCTGTTTCTCCTTTCACTCGTTTCCTCAAGTGATTGACACCTCTCCAACAAAGAGTTGTTGAAATGTGACCTGACTTGCAATATAATCAAATTTGCACAGTTCACATTTTATTTGCCACATGAGATCTCTCTGGTGGAGTATTTGCATCAACCATAATGTTCAGTGCATATTTCTATACAGCTGTCATATGAGGGGTGCATCCAGCTTGAATTGATATGAAGTGAGTTTGTAAATTGTGGTCTATGTTAATCATTTGTACTCATTTCCAGGAAGATGCATGCTATTGTTTGAGAATCATGTGGGAGTTTTTTTGTTCTTATTCTATCACTTATTTTCACATGCCATGGCAAGTTCTTTTCATAGGAGACTAACCATTATTTACAGAATGAAGTATGGTACAACAAATGACTCTCTATCTTTCCTTAAAGGTTCTAAATTCTGTACCCATTCTACAGATAAAAAAATACATTATAATCTTTGTGAGAATATGCAAGCCAGTCTATCAGACAAAGAAGAAAAAAGATCCTCTCCTTGGCCACTACGTGCAAAGCTTTGGTATCTTGAGCATGACGATCTTAATTCTATCAGAATTTAATTCTCATCAGTGTAATTCATAAATAGCATAAATATATAATGCATAGGATACACTTCCATTTATTTTAATGTGTGCATCATACTCCATCCCATGAGACAATTTCATTTCTGCTGGTCATCTTTCGAAGAGCACTAGATGGTAGATTCATTCATAACTTATTATTTCTCTCAGATATCTTGGTATAGTAGATAACATGGCAGCGAGCTCATTTAGCAACTGAATTTGGAAATTGATGAGCTTTAGCTTTAGTGTCCGAACCATGCAGCATTGGAATAATAAATATTAATCTTGCAAAATCTGTTACTACGCTAACTGAACTGTAATTGAACCAAGCAATCTTCGCTCTCCATCTGTTTCAAAACAACACAATATACAAATCCAAATTAGGTATTCAATTTTCCAATCTATTAAAAATTGATACTCTCACAATGCATGCATTCTCCATGAATATTTTAACATGGTGTTAAGCTTCCAGGGGTTGGCTGGCAAGCATGTAACACCAATATGATTTGAACAGGAGGCATGGTGAGGGGATGATGTCATTTAGTTGGCTGGAGCATTCCTGGTGATTTAAAGTGGGACAGGGCGCTAGAAAGAGGTTCATTACCTTGTTATCGTAGGAATGCCAAGTCGAGAGAGAGAGAGATGAGATTGAGATGTAACTCATAGAAGTCATCACACGGTGAAACGTGTACGCACATCTATAATATTGGCAATATACATCCAAATCTAACCTTGCTCAATCGAGATTTGATTTGCAAGTTCTATGCATCAACATTTCATTCAAAGTCAGCACAGTGATTGAATGGGCATACTTCAGAGATAAGTACTTCGCACTTCACAGTTGTTTCATTGGTGATTAATTTTGGACTATCATTTTACTTTTTTCCATTTAAATGATTGTATTAAATTTGCCTTTGCCTTAGTTCTAAGGCATATTCTTTGAGAACTGTGAGAAGTTTCGGTCTTCCACTCTAAAAGATGCAATTGAGAAGAGATGAGATACGAACAAGGATTTGTTACATTCTTAAATTTCCACTGAATACTAAACAAGATGTCCTAGACTCTTCTTAAGAACTCCCCATCATTTGGAAATCACAGGGACTCCTAAGATTTCATTTGTCATTCATAAACTAAACTCATTTACCAATGCCATCATCCTTGCCCAAAGCACCAAATGCGAATATTATACCATCCATCATATTTCCCTTATGGGGGGGAAACGCAACCCTGTCTCCATGCTCGAAGTCTGGAAAATTGAGCCAAATTGCCCTCATTCATCACAACATTCATGCCTGACATGTGGGTGTAATAGACCTGACTTGAGAATGTCGCCTATGTACGCATCGGAATGACTTGCATTAGGACTCATGCAGGACTGTGCCATGGAAATGTCTTCCATGTGTACATAAAAGCATCCAGCAATCAATCCAACCATTCCAACAATTCTACATCAAGTACCGCCCATTAGGCAACCATGGTCACATGAGTGGATGGGTGTCAGAATGAAATAAACAATTAGTAACATGATACAGATACTCGCCTTTAAGGGATAATAAACATGCTAGAAAACTATTATCAAAATAATTCTGTATGACAGTTATAGAAAGATGTCATGCACCCCAACTCATTAGTATTTGATACAAATTACAAAATAACTTGTTTTCAGATAGTATGTTTCAGATGAGAGGACTCAAGATGTCACATTGTTAAGGTAATGCTATCTCCTACAGATATGAAGTTAGTGGATATATAACTTCATCTACAGGACAAGATAACTCATGGATTCTATACGACAAGGAGTAGCTAAGGGTTCAATCTTATTCATAACAACTTTCCAATCATTGGTTTCTTAATTAGAAATGGTCATCATAAAGACTTTTAACTGCAAAACTTGTTACCGGTAAAATAGAAACATGTCTCGGTTAAACTTTCTAGTAGATCAGATACATGTAACTCTAGGCTGTTGTGAAAAGCACATAGGCATATATGCCAACAAAATGGCAGCTACATGTACAGATATTGGGAATACTTTTTTAAATCTGGGCTACTTCAATATAACCTCGTTAGAAACCAAGCATTACATTTATCATGAAACTGTATGATGCATCTCATTTATGAATTTAGGGGAGTAAGGGGCCCATAAGAAGGGGGAAAGAGTTAACTAGATCATTAGGTGTAGTCAGAGGAGTTGAAACGAAGGGTGTCATCTTGAAGGAGGGAAAGTGCATTCAGGGCATGTCCCCTTCTATTCCCGGTCATGCCATCTCCATGGCCAATGTGTATCAGTCCATTTCTAATGGTCTTAATGGTGAGTGACGGTGACAACAAGCTAGCTAGCTATGGCTGGCTGGCTGGCTGGCTGGCTAGCTGGCTGGTTGGATGAGTCACTGGTTGATTGGGTCTCCCAGGTGACAGCTGGGTGTGCTTCAACACCTGAGATGCCTCAGATGGGGGTAGGTAGATAGGGGAGGGGTGTTGGGGGAGGTAGGGGTGTCAGTGGTGGAGGTGGTAGAGTGGGGTGGGGGCAAGACGTGAGATGCCTCAGATGGGGGTACGTAGATAGGGGAGGGGTGTTGGGGGAGGTAGGGGTGTCAGTGGTGGAGGTGGTAGAGTAGGGTGGGGGCGACACCTGAGATGCCTCAGATGGGGTAGGTAGATAGGGGAGGGGTGTTGGGGGAGGTAGGAGTGTCAGTGGTGGAGGTGGTAGAGTGGGGTGGGGGTGACAGTACTGCCAGTAATAGAAGTATGATAGATGTAATGGTATCATTGGTCACACATAAATTAAGAGAGATGCATGGAGAAAGTTTGGGCCCAAGGTGGCAGGCACTTTTAATAATGCAGATGGTGTATAGTACCTGAGATGGCTACATGATGGGCAGAGGGGGGGGGGGGTGTTGATGAAGAATGTTGGTGTGAGAAAGTGGAAAATAGAGGTGCGGCAGTCACTGGAGTACAGTAACAATGGAGTTGGTTTGGGCAAATATACATTAGTGGATGTGTGCTGAAATTCAGGCTTGGGGTGCCAGGCAAATGTTCTGCAAACACCCTCATTAAATGACAGTTGTGAAGTTGACGGTGGTGGTTATTAAACCCATAGAATAGAATGGCAGAGCTAGTAAAGTAAATGGGAATGTTTACAGATAAAAAATTTAGATTCACAGGACATGTGTTGAGGGGTAATTGCATTTAATACAGTTCAGATGGCAATAGAGGATAGAATTGACCAAACTGTCATCATCACCTGTCTATGTGAATACCACATCCAGAGATCTATATTTTACATATAGACCTAGTATGAAATGTGAAAAAAGCATTAGATTCTTCAGTAACAGAGAAGCAGGCAAATGTGTAAAACTGGAACCCTTACAAGATGCACGTTTAGAGTAGGCCCCAACAGGTGATTAAAATCTGGTATATGCTTGCAAACATGATCATCCCTTCACGAGGGGCAGTGAAGAAGAGGAGCAGAACTCTGAATCACTCTTGCTATAGGGACTAGGGGGAGGTGGGAGTACATACAAATAGGTAAAAGTATGCCACAAAACCTATAATTGGCCCCCTGCAGTTGCTTTTCTGAAGAAGTACATACAAGAACACCTGGATTAAACCATGACAAGGTTTCATGATTGGTGCAATAGGAGACATCAACTAACATGAATGATGTATGCCACCACTTGCCAGGGATTTTAGCACTGTAGTTCATCACAAGGAATGTGAATCTAATATCCTATAAGCTATTAGAAACCAGAAACATACCACAGAATAACTCTGTCAGAACACAGCACTTTTTCAAAGTGGAGAGTCACTTACTAAAATATGTGCAAGTTTCATTTTTTATTATATCTTTTGTTTCCCAGTACAGGCTAACTGGTGGCAATTTTCAACTGTTTACAGCACAGAGCTAGCTCTATTACTATAAAAAGAAACCTTTGGCCTCAACTCTTTGTGCCATACAAGGCAGTGGGTTGATTTTGGGTCAACACTTGCTTGAAATGGAAAGTAGTACTTGTACAGATTCTAATTGAGTATTTTTTCCATACTACCACATAAAAGAGAGTGAGAGATGGTTAGTATGCTAATCTGGCATTATTCATGAAGAAAACACCAAAGTGCTTGTATTAACAGAAGCCCAAAATGTTTATTTATTTTTTACTTACAAACTGGAATAGATCTTGTAAGTATAGACTTTGTTTAAACAAATTCTGAGGGCAATTGTATTTGACAGTATTGCGAAGAATTTCCTATGGAGTGTTTCACAATAACTTTACAGGGTGTATATAAAACAAATTTAAAAGATTCTGTTTTGTGTACAAATGTCTGGAAACGTCAAAGATTGTATGGTAGGATGGTGAAAGGTGGATGTAATGACCTGTTGCACCTAAACAAAGACACAATCTGAAGATATTACGGTAGAGCATACAGGATACCAAAGACAAAAATTATTGGTGATAAATAGGAAATCTTGTCAAATGATCATAAAAATAAACGTACATGTAAATGAAGTTTGGATTACTATAACACAATCACTGTATTAAGTCATGTTTAACACTTCAAAATAAAAATAAAAAGAAATTAAAGGTCATCCATAGTCAGAGACACAACAGCTTGCCACTCAACATACTCTTGCTAACATTATGATAAAGTTTACCAATGGAATATAAAGCAGGGGATATCAAGAAAGAGCAATGACATTGACAAGATGCTTGTAGAACAGACAAATTGAGAGTGACATGTAACCGAAAATTGGATCACTGGTCTGAATTACAGAAGGCTGGCTGCTACTAAACCAATTTTGTCCATTTTCGCTTGACACTTGGTGGCCACTGTGTGAAGAACAATTTGATGCTATTCAGTAGAGTTCAGAATTGGTTCAGATTGGATTTGTTCCAAATGTATCTGAATTTCATTTTTATCAATGGTCACAACCATTAGTTTTACATTACATCATCATATTAGTACTGAAATATGCATCTGCCAATAAATGATTTGCATTTCAAAAAAAAATGGTCAAGTAAATTGATTAAGGTTTGAATGCATCCTGCACACTGCACATTCACCTTTCATTTGCATGTACTTGTACTTTGTACATCACGTATATGCTATGTTTGACGATAGCTAAGAAACAGATATTATGTATATGATATTCCTTAAACTAATTCCTTAAATTTATGAAAATACTTCTTTCCCCATGTGGTGCAAAGTGCAAACTACAAGAGATCATTCCTACAGATTGAATACTACTTTGAAATAGAACCAACAGCCACTTTCCCTTATCCCTATTGACCACCCCCCCCCCCCCCCCCCCCATCCTCTAACTGCCAGAATCCTGTAACAATCTTTTTCATTCTTTGTTCATATTCTTCACTCATCAAAATCTAAATTGGGTCATCTCTCTATCTCTCTCTCTCCCTCTCCCTCCCCCTCTCCCTCTCCCTCCTACCCTGTTATCCCATTCCCACACACGTTTATAACAAACCCGACTCCATCACTTTCTGAACAACTATGAAAATATGTGGATTTGGTTTTCTCCAGGCCTTGAACAACAACACCAAATCTTGATCATAGAAACCCCAAGGGTTTCACAGTATCATAGCCAATCAGGCCTCATAATCTTTTCTCGTCCTCCATTATTAGAAAATGAATTTTTCATTCCTCAGCCTGAAATTCAATCATCTTAGGAGAGCTTTCATTTGAGTACATTGCTATGAATATGTGTGTAAATGAATACATACATGCCTGAAACTATATGGCTCTGCCTGTATATTGCCGTCCCAATTACAATAACCTTTAAAAACAAGGACAGGAAAATAACATTGCAGTAGGCGAAAAGAACGGATGAAGCAACCTGATTGACTGAACTTGGCTTCAAGGAATACTGCAAGATTGGAATTATCAGAATATAATCTCTATTATCTGAATCAACAGCAGCAGCTGCCTAAAGAGGAAAAGTCTAAGGATTTCAACCCAATTTTGATGCAAAGTTGACATCATGAGCTGGGAATAATTCAGGTAGTTATTTTTAGGGAACATCCATACAAAATGATGAGTGAAGTTCTTGCAAATGAGGTCACATTTATGAACTTCTTAAGAAAGTTTAAGCACTTAACGGGCATAGATGTCCCACTAGTTCATGCAAAAGATATGAGGACTTTTCATCAATTTATTTTCTACAAAGTTACAGATGACATGCTTGTCCATGTGAATACTTATTACCTTCATGTTGCATTATACAACTTATAAACAGCACTCTTCCAAAACTAAAAAAATGTGATCCATGTCAAACAGACAAGACAAGAGAAAATGCACTTATTCTTGTGACATATTAACAGAAAGTTCACTTGTACATCTCTATAGATCTGTTTTTATTATCTCCCTCCCCCCTCCCTCTCTCATTCTTTCTCTCCCTCTCTTTCTCTCCCTCCCACTCTCTCTCTCTCTTTCTGCCTCTCTCTGTCTCTCCCTCCCTTGCTCTATCTCTTCTCTCTCATCCATCATCTGAAACAGAATTTTAGCCTGGAACAGCAAAACCCCAATTTCCGAGTCATTCAAGCATCAAAATGTGCAGGCATGACTAGGAGTTTGGTCTCTGCGTTCCTTCATTGATGGGATATTAATTGATTTTGCTTGTTTTCTGGAGAGCCCCTCCCTCTATCTCTTTCTCTCTCCATTTTGACAGCTTTATTCAATTTGGCGGCAGACTCACACATCCAAGATTTTGGGATTCAAGGCACGGTTCCCCAAAGATGCGGTTTGAGAGGAGCGCTCGTGGCGGTGGTCGTCGTTGAAGAGACATGATCTTCTAAGAGGAGTGGGTGGGTAGAGAGAGTTGGCTGGTATCTAGGGAGGGCAGATGAACTTCACATCGAGACAAGAGTGGTGGGGGTCAATTCAGACCCGTTCACAGAGGGATCCATCAATGAAATTGTTTCCATGGAATTGGGTTATTATATCATTCATTTTATTTAGTGGTGAAAAAGTGGAAAGTTAACAACTTTTAGCACTTCCTTTCATCCCACTAATCTCTAAACTCAAGCTTCTTGTGACAAAACTCTTATTGAGACTGAGTTTTCATAATCCTGTACTAATGCCATTCTTAGACTTCGCTAATTGTTTTGAGTATTTTGCCTCTATGACCCACCAGTGCCTCTAAACATTCCTTTTTCATTTTCTTTCTGTTTGCGGATGTTGTCCCGCTGTGCCGATAATTGGAAGCAAAGATCTGTGAAGAGCTTTCTCAGTGCCTCCACCTGGAAATAGCCAGGAGAAAACCAAACTTAGAGTTACATGCAGGCAAAATGGGCAATTTGTGGTTCAGGAAAAGTTTAAAATAGTATGTTTACAAACGTCAATCTCATTTTCATGAGTTTCATTTTATTGGCTTAAAACAATCATATAAATAATATTAAAAAAATAACGAATATTTCTTGAAATTTGAATCGATAGCAATGCATGGTGTGGGCTTGATATCTAAGAAAACATGACACTTTAAATCTTCAAAGCAGACTAGTAGTATATCTTTCCTTTCTGAAGTATATTTTACCTGTCATGACAACACTTTCAGTCATCCGGTGGGCAACTGAGGGCGCGTTCATGCTTGATTTTGACGGCCAGAATCAGGCATCTGTTACGCGTTTAGTTTAAAACACGGTTGCGTCTTAGCTCACTTTTGTAGAATCACCGAAAAACGGCGATCACGATCGCCGATCGTAAACTCACAAAAAGATGCGTTTACAATTTGTAAACGCGTTTAAATGGGGTCAACGCACT